TTAAGGAGCCTCAGGACTGAGCACGGCCCACTCCTTGGACTGCAGAAGCAAGGCCTCACTGACTGAGAAACTCCAACTGGGTGGCTGACCATGGCCAATCCCCTAGACAGGCATGGGAGGATGTCCTTGACCCCAGCAGGGATTACTCTCCTGAGAGATGAAGTCAGGCTGCCTGCTTGCTGCAAATGTTGTGTTTTTGCAATGTATGTGCTGGAACAAGGTTCAGGTGTAAGGTTGATGTGGCACACTATTGTTCAACGAGACATGTGCCCCCTAGACTGATGACTGCCTGATTTTTTTGGCTGCATTAATTGCACAGCAAGACAAGGCAGGGGACAGCAAGGCAAGGCAGGGTAGGAATGATGTGAGAATGCAGGTAGAAGCTAAGCGAGAAAATGCTAAGACAGAATGCAAGCAAAGATGCAGCCTGGTCCACTTTGTGAGCTGGTTATCTGTCCCTTTGTGCAAAGTGTCTCTGTTGCAGCTGTTCAATGCTTGTGCTTGTTCACTCTGCAATGCAAGCCTGTGTTTCCAGAAAGCACTGCAAGTGAACAGTAGAAGTGGCAGGTTGGTCATGATGGGTGGTTGGTTCCAGATACCATTGTCCATGAAGGACAAGGGCTCTCAGTAGATGCCCTGAGATGCTTTTGCACAGTGTCCAACATGGATGTTGTTTGGAGCAAGCGGTAAGCTGAATCTGTCAGGTACACACTTTGGTTTCCACATCAGGTTATCCACATGTCAAGCTTGTTTGGCCAGTTTGGTAAAATGGGAGGCTGAATATTATTGAGATGAGTTGTGATGTTAACAAGGGGTCTGTTAACAAGTAATAATCCCCATCAATTGATATCTCACCGATGCCGAACGAGAATTTTGCCATTGGTGAAAAAAATAAAAGATGGAGCGAAATGCACCTGATGCCAAGATGGGGAGATGATGGCCTCATGGCATTGTCACTAGACTATTAAGCCAGGGACCCAGGTAATGTTGTGGGGACCCAGATTCAAATTGCAGCATGGCAGATGGTGAAGTTTGAATTCAAACAAAAAAAATCTGGAATTTAGAATCTAATGATGACCACAAAACCATTATTGGGGGACAAACCAATCTGGTCCACTAATGCCCTTGAGGAAAGGAAAATTCTGTTGTTACTTTGTCTGTCTTCCGCGTGCCTCCAGACCCACAGTGGTTGACTCTCACTTGCCCTCTGGGCATTAGGGATGGCCAATAAATGCTGGCCTAGCCAATGATGCTCATATCCCATGGTCAAATAAAAAAAGCCTGTTGCCTGGTTCTCCTACACATGTTGTCATAGCCCATGTCAATCAGATCTCTTTAAAATTCCATCCAGAGATTTTAATATTGTTAGCTTTTGATATCTAATCTTGATTATTTGTGTATTCCTAGGTGTTTTTTTCTCTCTCTCTGTCACTTGCCTTCATTACCTGACCCTCATTTCCAATGTTACTAAGCTGTCAGACCTGCTCAGTTTCTCTAGCATTGTTGGTTTTATTTGAAAGGTCAATTTTGACAGTATTAGACAGGTACTTTCAAAAGTTGATTGGGTGACCTATTTGCAGGTAAAGGGATGGTTGGGAAGTGGGAAGCCTTTAAGAATGAGATAATGATTTAGTGTGAAGGGCAAGGTTGACAGGTGTAGGGAATGCTGAACGACTAGAAAAATTGAGGCTCTGGTCAAGAACAGGAAGGAGACGTATGTCTACAGGCAGCTTGGATTTAGTGAATCCCTGAAGGAGCATAAGGGCAGTAGGAATATGCTTAAGTGAGAAATCAAGATGGCAAAAAGGGGACATGAGATAGCTTTGGCAATTGGAGTTAAGAAGAATCCAAAGAAATTCTACAAGTATATTAAAGGCAAAAGAGTAACTAGGGAGCAAAAGGGATCCCTTAAAGGTCAACGTGGCATCTGAATGGAACCAAAGGAGACGGGTGAGTTACTAAACAAATATTTTGCAACAGTATTTACTGTGGAAGCTAGAGAACTTGAGGAAATAAATAGTTATGCATCAAAAGAGTTTATAATACAGAAGAGGAGGTGCTGCAGGTCGTAAAAGGCATAAAGGTAGATAAATCTTTGGGACGGTTTTAGTTGGAGAGTTGAGTTCCAAAACGCCAGCACCATCCCCAAATCGGAGTTACACATTGATGGATATCACAATGTATCTACTTGGTGTACTTTTGGACGATTCATTACATATGCTGAGACCCTCACCAAATAATGTCTGGCACAGATTGTGACAGAAGTGTTGAAATCACCAGTCTGGAGTCAACCTATTTCTCACAGATTCAAGGAACTAGGTACTAAGGCGAAGTATTATGTTTCTTCCCATATCAGTGAGTAACTTAACAAATGAGTGTCTCCAGGATCTAATGCCCCCTGCTGGATATTTATATCATTACATATAAAAAGAAAAAGGAACATGCAAATAGTGGAAACGATAGAAATCACTCGGCATTTATTGGGAAGAGAAACATGCTTTTAGCTACAATTTAAGAACTGAATGTAAACTCTAGACTTGAAATTTTAAACTATCTCATTTTAGATGTTGAAGGACCTGCTATCCAACATTAGGCGTTTGCACATTTGCATTTCACAAGTTGTTATCAGCATGTTGCCATGGGTGGAAAGGAGTGAAATTTGCCTTTTCAAATCAAATGATGGGGTAGGAACAGCCAGTGCAGTCCTGATAGGAGTGAAAGGAGAGGAATCCCATTAGGTCTGATGTATTGGTAATAGGCTTTAAATTTGTGACGATTTTTGCCGCTGGAGAGAATTGGTTGTCAGTGTAAGACATAATTGTTAACACACTTATTTCTGGGTTCAAGTCCCACTACAGGACTTGACTACAAAGTACAGCATATGAAGTACTGAGTGAGCCCTGCACTGACAGAGGTGCTGTTTTTATTTTGGATGAAAATTTAAACCAAGAACCTGGCTACTCTCTCAGGTCAATGTACACAATCTCACACCACTACATTGGAGATAAGGGTTGAGGAGTTTCCCAGGTGGCTTGGCTAACGCCTATATGTCAATTAAACTATGAAGCTGCTATAGGCCTGTTCTCTCATTATTGAGGGATAACTGACAGTGGTTTAACCTGAGGTACAATCTTCACAGTGACTTCAGCTGGTGTGGGATAAAAGAACCCTTGCTGTTAGCATCACACTGCATCACAAACCAGTCAACTGAGCTCAGTGACCCCCTGACATACGCACAATTGATTATCGGATCATTATCACAATGTTCTTAGTGGGAGTTTGCTGAGTGCAAATTTACTGCCATGTCTCTTTAATCACAGCAGTGATGATGTTTCAAAAATACTTTTGAGACATCCAATGTCTGTTAAAAGATCTAATTAAATGCAATTCTGAAGACGAGGCATCTTGAACTCAAAACATCAGTTTTGTTTTCTCACTTCACAAATGCTGCCTGACCTGCTGGATATTAACAGCGCTATTTTCATTTCAGATTTCCAGCATCCACAGAATTTTGCTTTTATTTATGATAAAGCAAGTCTTTCTTTCTTTTCCCCTCTTAAAGGATCATTTTTGGTTCCACAATATCGCTTAGTGCCCTGTGCAAGCTGCTACATGGAAAAATACTTTTTTATTTCAGGCTGCAGTAAAAGATTTCATGTAGTTGGCTGGATACTCAGTTGTGATATGAGGGTTTGAGACAGCAAAGAATATGTTGAATTAAGTGAGCAAATATTGATAAAGTCAATGCCAGTGAAGCAGATGGTTTACCAAAGAATAAAGTTAGAAATGCTTAAGATTTACAACTTTGAAGGAGGCCAATTAGGGGACAATATAATTAAGGTATATAAATGGAGGTAAATAAATAGGATAAATACATTAACTTAGAATGTTAATACCAGTATTGCAGTGAGTGCAAAGATTGAGGACCGTAGAAAATGCAGTTACATATTACAGCAGGATAATAGAGCTTTATTAGGTTAAAGATTCTTTTTGACCTTGAAGTTTCTTATAATATTTTAGAAATAATTAAAATATTTCAACTTTAAGGCCTACAAATTTACAGAGCATATTCTGGTTCAGGTAAAATGTCTTTTATTTAATGCCATGTTAAGACTTTGCATTTATAAAAATTTCAAACTATATCCATTTGTTGGATGATCAGTCCCCTGTTCTTCAAAATTGGATCTTCACAAAAGTCCTCATTGATATAGTCTGGATATCCAGGTGCAGAGATCTCTGTTGGCTTTTGAAAAGATCATGCTTCCAGAACTTCGAATTCCTCTTTGTTTTGGCAGCAGAATTGATATTGATAGCAATCTGCTGACATCCATTGCAACCTGATGTTCTCTTCTTGCTGGTCTATGCAGAACAAGGCGTCAGATTCTAGGTCTAACTGTGCATATTGAGAACAAATAAATTGAGGCTGCTCAAGGTACAGTTAAAATATAATGGTATCCTGATGCATAAAGCTATGATCAAAATCTCTGGTTTTGAATCTACCTGGAGATTCAATGTTGATATATTTTTTACAATGCTGTGCATGTGCTGCATATCTATTTTGTAACAGTGAAAGTCTTGGATATTTTGAGTTTTCTGTAAGTTCCCATTTATCAATATTTGTTGATTCAATAATTTGAGGTAAAAACACAGCAATTTCTGGCTCTTTTCTATTCCAGTTTGTTAACATTGCAGGTAATTGTGTTTTAGGGGTATAGAAGTACTTAAAGTAGAAGTAAATCGAAAGTGTAACCAGGATTAGTGCCCCACATGCTGAGCAGATTATCACTGAGTGCATAATTCTAGTTTTTGGCCCTGTGGATTAAAGCATAGTTAAATTAACAGTAGGTTAATGCATGTTAGGTATTACTGAAATACCTGTATTGAAAGAGTTAAACATACTGTACTACTCACTGGTCAGTGTCTCACACTGTTCTTTACTTGGTTTACCAATCTTACTGTATAATGGAACTCTTGTTTGAACAGAAACACAGTAGGTTGTTCCAGGACTTAAGTGATGGATCTCAAATGTTTTGTTGTTAGAAATATAAGTCCTCAGGTTCTCCAAATGTATCTGGGGGTTAGATGAATAATTAATGAATAATAATCTCATTATAGACTCAATAAATGGAATAAAAAAATGAAAAAAGACGAGGACGCTTACCTGATCCCGTGCTTTGACTGACACCTTTATATCATATTTCACTTTGTGATATATGTCTTCCACCTATTTCAGGCTGCCATTCTGCTTTTTTAGCATTGTGCAGGGAGCAATCACCTTAACAAGGATTGATGTTTCAAAGGAAATCACCTCTATCTCTGGAGGGCCAATGAGAGCTGTGTCAAAAATAATGATGGCATTGTCATAACATTGCTTTGTGCTGCAAGTGTTAATACCACAAACTTCAATTTAAATATTACTTTCAATTAACACTTGATTTTATTGAGTATGAAAATACACTCACGGTACAGATGTAGCTTTTAATAAAGTGGCACCTATTCTGTCATATGACACCAAATTATAAGCCAAAGATTCTATTTATTCCCACTGTTTTGAAGTCTGTTCAGCATTGTACATTGGAGCTTAGTTTGAAGGCAGTTGGGTTTGATGGACATTAACTACAATCGGCTATGCAACACAAGAGACCGTGTTAACAATGGTACTCAATATAGTCCATTACTGCCTAGATAGAGTTGAAAATTATCCTCCTGTTTTTAATCAAGTTTGGTAAAATGTTTTTTTAAATCTTAGTGAAGTACACAATATCATCAATATTTATTAATAACATAATGCTCAAAAGTAACATTGGGAAATGGAAGATACCTTCTGACAGTGAAGTGAATCCTGACAGAAAGCTCTCCCCCTACTGACCTGAATACTGTTGTGACAGAAGACAGAAGAGGAAGTTTGGACAGAACACATGTATTGAGTTGAATAATAAAACAAAGAATTCTGAGCACTAAGACTCTCTGGTCATATTTAATAGTCCATTGCACCAAAAAACAGCATTGAGATAAAATGTTAAATTATATTCAGTGTTAGTGAGAAACATGCTTACTGTCTGTCATTGGACAAAATGCCTCACTTTCTGTCCAGTTTGAGAATTCATTAAATGAATAAGCTCTCACTCTTGCAAAAAATTTTTCAAAAAATGGATTTGTCTCTTGTGTGAGGTCGCAGGAAGTTTCCTTGATGCCCCAACAATCTGTTTTGTTTGACCAGGGTTTTCCATATCTGTAATAAAGGAATTAGCATTTATTATTCATTCTTCATTAATACTGTTATAACTATTTTACAAATGATTGAAACCGAAATCATTTCTTTTGCTACAAAATTTGGACAATCTTGTTAAAATACATACAATCGATGTTGCACAAAGTATGCAGTGAAGTTTTCTGTTTCATTGCTTGTTTTCCAGTGAATTACATTTTGGAAATTCTGGGAAGTGAATTTCACATCCTGTGGCTCTTTTGGTTCTTTCATAGCTGAAATGAAGGGAGAGAGTTTACAGTGTCTATTTTGGATCAGCATCAAGGACCATACAATATAAATTTCAATACTCATCTCTCACATGGTCAACGGTGGTGGGTGAGAGATGGATATTGACCAAGACAAATACATCAAAATATAGACTGACATTGTTTTAAAGGGAAAAACAGATTTCATTTCATTCAATGTTGCCTAGAGGTTAGTACTTGGACTTATTAATTGCAGCATGCACCTGTTTGTTTATATATCAACGTGAGTGTAACTATTTTGAAAATATTACAGAAAATAAATAAATAAATAACAGGGATATTAAAAAAAGAACTTTGTAATTCATGCCAATGTAATTGCAGTCAAAATGCCATCTGTGCAGAGGTGATGCATTCAGTGTCTTTCGTAAATAGTGTAGAGGCAGGCATAGAGACATAGAAAATAGGCCATTCAGCCCATCAAGACACCCCCACCATTCAACATGATCATGGCCCATCCCTTATTTCAATGCTGTACTTTCATTCTCTCTCCATACCTCCTGATGCCTTTAATGTTTTTATTGTACTCTTTTAAAACATATATCTACATATATAGTACAATATTTATGCCTTTATTTGCTGATACACCACTGTACTAGTGAAGATAATATTAAGCATCTGTTATGCCTCACCAGGGAGTACACTGGAAATCAAGCCTCACTATTCCCAGAACTATCATAAATGTTAAAGAAATGATTGAAGTACACTAGGTTTCCAAATTTACTAATATTTTTATACCCAGGGTAACAGAAAGCATGAACTATATTTCTATACTTAACAAGAACGACAATTTATCACAAATAAACATGTTCTAGCTACAGGTCAACAACTATGAACTGTTGAAATATTACTCTGCTAATTAAAACTCTAGCCCCATTTTAAAACTTTCTCTACACATATACAAATAGACAAAAAATGGTGTTATGGGTTGAGGGTATTATGGGTTATGGCCCCTGTCCACAAGATTTACTGAGATAATCCTTTTTGCTTTCCAAGACATGTGGATCTTCAATTTCTCTTCTCCAGGTACTTTTGCTACCTCACATAAGGCACAGAATGAATGGTTTACAAATTATAAAGTATCTGACTAATTAGTCAAAATCCAAGCTTACGGAAATTAGTGAGGGAAAATAAATTGGTTCTTTCAGGCTTTAGATAATTTTACCAAGAGGGGCATACATTGCCTCACCTTCGCAGAGGTTTGAAAGCTTCTGGCCATATCATTCACACCGATCAGTCTGTGGACTGGTGACCATTTGGCAATGACAGAGGTCTTCACCTGCCAATAGCTATGCATTTGGTTTCTGGGCAACTGAACAACTTGTGGGTGTGAATGATATTGCCACTCACAGTGCTGTTCGGGAGGGAGCCCCACGATCTTGACCCAGTGATAGTGAGGAAAAGGTAAGATAGTTCCAAGTCAGTTCGGTGTGTGGCTTGGAGGGGAATGTGCAGTGGCAGAAGCTTTTAAAATGGTGATTCGTGGCCAACAGTATACATAGTACCCTGATTATAATTCTGAAGGAGCTGATAGTCATATATATAAAAAAAGTTCCCTTTTATTCTGCTTTTGTGGGGCTGCCTTCAAAGGGAAGGTGTACTCCCCTCTGTTTCTCAGGAATTCATAGTTCACTGCCAAATTAACCTCACCAACATACCCCAGTCGAGTCCCTCCATGTTGCCACATGATTTTGCCCTTCCTCCAACCTTTCTGCCCACCTTTTGTCTTAGCATCAGAACAAATTAGAATTCTGTGACTGACCAACTGGTAAGCTACAGGGATATCCTGCTGGAGAGAATGGGTGATTAGGCTACCCAAACATCTCAGTTTAGACTGATATTAAATGAAATAAGATGAGAAAGATGTTCAAGCAATCTCCATCAATTTGTGAAATAATAATCTACTAAATACCCAACTCCAACTTTATAGTAAATTGTAAATGTTACCATTCAATAATATGCTCACAGCCAATCTAGAATTTATGAGTTTGTCAAAATAAAATTTCTATCAATTTATTCATAAACTTACATGTTGTGTGAACAGTTTCGTTATCAGAGAATCCCCAAAATCTTAAGATAGCAACAGTTTTAAAACTTTGGAAGTAATCATCTTTTGACTTTAATTTGGGTTTATTTTGGCCAATGTATCTGAAAAGAAGTTATTATCTTTGATATTGAGATTAATAGTTACACTAATATAATATATCTGCACACATACTTGCTGATATTTTTAAATCTGAACCAATAAGGGAAAGAGAGAACTGAAGTTAAACTGCAGAAGAAAAGTTAAAAAAAAGTGTTGTCAGAAGTGGAACAATATTTCATGCAGAAAAATCTTTGGAGATAAAGCCAATGAAGCAGAATTTTTTTTAGTTTATCTATCATCGGCTCAGGCATTTTAAGGATATTATAATGGATTATTTACTTACCTGTGCCATTAAATAGAATCAACATGTGTAAGAACCACAAAAAGATGTGGGACACTTGTACTGCCATCCTTACATTCTAAAGCAGACACTGTGACTATCTATTCGAAAACTAGAAAGTCACCTTTCAGCAAACAATGAAATTAAAATTCCTTATGGTTCCTTTTTCATATTGTTATAATATACAACAAGGAGAATTGAAATATAATATACTTCTGTCTTTGACTTCTCATGTCATTATTTAGGAAAAATGCAAACAGCAGAGAAAGAGGTTTGAAGAAAGCTACAAGACAATAAAACAGGAATTTAGTTATGTACTATAATGTACTGTTAATAATAGGATATTGTGAGAGACTAGAATGCTTAATGAACCTATCACATGATACTTATATTGGCTACATCAGTGGACAGGTTAATATATGATAGAATGGATTGGTGAATGACATCTGAAAACTGCAGATACTGGAAGGCTGAAATATAAAACAAAATTCCAAACTTACACAGCAGATCAAGCAATAGCTGTAGAGGGACAACAGATTTAACAGAGAGCATTTTAATCTCAAATAATGAGCTGGTTTGGTTCAGGTGGGAAATGAAAGTGTTGATAAAACAAATCATGACCCAAACTTGCCCCCTAGCTGCTGGGCTCTGGTTTAAAGAAAATCAGTGGCTGGGCGACCAAACTGCTTGATGGAGGGAGGCTGTCAATTTAATGGTGATCATATGGTACCACCTAGGAAATGTTTACTGAGGCCAGCAGATTTCCTGAGCCTCAGGTAATTTGACAATGAAGCCCAGGTGAAGAATGCTGAGTCCAGGAGCTGTGTGCCCTTCATTGACCTGCTGGATGGAAGCAGTGTGTCGTTGTGCCCCATCCCCAGTACCCCACAAAAGGTCAAGGCATATGCTTCACCCCCTCCCATCCTAACTTCCTCTGACTTTCCCCAGAAGTCCTTTGTACACCCTAAGAGGCCTCCAACATTTCCCATGAGACCCCCTGACCCAACTGAGGCCTCTGACGCCCCCAGGCTTTTGTTCCACTATTGAGGCCTTATACATCTGCCAGCTCCTACCACTCTTGCTGTTTCAAATCCCATAGGCCTTCAATTCTCATCAAGAATATGATTGTTCGACCTGCTTCACCCACCTCCACGCTTCATAGACCTGACTTGATCCTGAGTTTTCTGATCCTTTCCAGCAAAAGCTTCTAATACTGTGGTCAGGACCCTGAGATTGACCATGGACACTCCTCTCTACCCGCCACCACAATCTGCAAGCATGGTCCCTCTCCCATCAAGCCCTAGACTTGAACTTTTTAAAAAATTTACTCATGGAATCAAGGCATCTTTGACTAGGCCTGCATTTATTGTCCATCTTTAATTGCCCAGAGGATAGTTGAGAGTCAACCATATTGCAGTGGATCTGGAGTCACATGCAGGCCAAACCAGGTAAGGATGGCAGTTTCCTTCCCTAAAGGGCATTAATGAACCAGCTACATTTTTTTTTCCCCCTGACAATTGACAATGTTTTTATGGTCATCATTAGAGCCTTAAATCTCAAATTCTTTATTGAATTCAAATTCCACCATCTGCCAAGGCAGCATTTGAACCTGGGTCCTCAGGACATTAGTTCAATTTCTGGATTAATAATCGATTGATAATACCACTAAGCCATTGGCTCCCTTTCCTCCATCCCAGAAGGAAAGACCCACATCTGCAGATCACCCACACTCCCAGAGATGATTCTTCAGGGACATTGCACAGGGACACTGTGGAACTTGATTTTCTGATCCATGGCTGGGTATAGGCTGGGAGGCAGGGGGCCTTCTTTAACCAGGCAGAAGGGGCAGGACAGAGGCCCTATTCTAAACTATTCCCAGTTAAGCTGAAGTCATCCCACCTTGTGGGCCAGTTAAGTAGCACATCCCCAGTTTCCAGTTTGGCTTGTGGAGGAGGATTCTCTCTCCTAAATGGGCAGTCCATGGGCCAACGGAGATACCTGCAGGGGCCACCCACAGGTAAATAGCCTGCCTGCTGTAAACATTGACATGCTTCCCTCATTGCTGGGGCCTCCTTCTCTGGCTCTGTCGAACTTGCTACATGTATCTTACTCCCTGGGATCCATTGTAATTCTCTGACTGCCTCCCCACCCCCATGTCACCACCACCAATACCCCCCCACTCCTTCTGTATTACCCACAGTGGTCACCTCTCCCTGTGATGGTGATGGTACTTGAGAGCTGCAGGGCCTCTGAATGGCCAGTAGCTTTCGGGGGCAGTGCATTTCTGTGGAGAATAATGAGTCCCTGACCTCAGACAGAAATTGATCACGATGGCAGCTCCAGTGAAAACATTGTCATTCCCACAGCAGCTTGAAAATGCTGAGGGCACACAATGTAGTCAGGAGTGGAAGGTCTAGAGACAGCAGTTCCAGAGATTCAGGACTGCATCACGATTACATGCAAAGGGATTGGGATGTCAGGTCAGTTAAAAATCCTTGAATCAATTACCCTTGCAGTTGAGACTATTAATTAAATCTTGCTCTTGCTTTATGCACTTGGGGCCTATAGCTGTCAGACTCCTCATGATGTAGAATATCGATGTAATACTGGCTTTGAAGCTTTAATCAAGGTGTTCAACACATACTTTTGTCCAAAGAAGAATCTGGTTAAAGAAATACTGAGATTTAACTAATCGTCCCAGTGACAAGAGGAATTGACTGAAACAGTTTTAACAGAGTCACAAAGTCTAAGGAGAGTAGTCTTCAGGCAAGTCAAGGGAGACAGGCTTCAATCAGGGAATGCTGTAGGTCATGTAGGTCGTGGGCAGTATTTAATATCAGAAAAGGGCTTGGACATGGTCAGTCAGTTACTTGGCATGGTCAGGATGAGATGGTATATATCTCTACAACCCAGGCTGTGGGTCATGGTCACTCCAATAGGTCCATTGCAACCAGTCTGAGGGAATGGTGGTAAGTCAGCCAGGGAGTTGCACGCAAATCAGTCAGGGCACTGGTCACACTTCAGCTGGGGCTGTCATTCCTAGTCATTGGGAGGAGAGGGTGGACTGGGGTCATGGACAGTGCTGGGACTCTGTTAAAACAGTTTCAGTCAATTCCCCTTGTCACTGGGATGGCTAGTTAAATCTGAGTCTTTCTTTACTGGAGGTTTTCAAGGGCCACTGGTGTGAGAGGGAAATTAAGAAAGTCAGTTGTGGGGTTTAGAGCTGCATGCTGGGATGCGGAGGGAACAATGCTTATGAAAGGGATAAACTCAACATATAAGTAGGGGGGAGGAGATGATAGTGCATTGGAGGACGTGGGTTGGTGGGTTGGTGAGGTGGGGGAGCGGTTGTCAGTGCTCACAACCATTCTAGCTTCACTGGGGGCACAGTACAGCATGATACTTGGCAAGACCTGGGCGCAACAGGTTAATGTTGAGAATTAAAGTCATATTTCAATGTGGTGCATAGGAATGTGTTAATCAAAGGTGACCTTAAAAATGTCACCTGTGGCCCACAATTCACAAAGACAATCCAAGATCTCAGGTTTCACAAGGGCATAGAACTAATTTTCTCTCTGCTTGAATTGCTGTTAGAGTGTGAAGGGGAGAGCGCAAGATATCAGTAATCATGCAGCACTTTCAATCTCCACTCTATTTGCATGGCATGACTTGTATTGTACTCATCGGAATAAGACCCCTTTGTCAAAGTTCCACATGAGCACATTTCATGGCCTTTCTTGATGGAGTGCTATATGCCCTGCTCTATGGAGGACTCTGCTAAACTGCCATCTGTAAAGCATCTGAATGCTGCCTGCTCCCATTACTGAGGACCTGTTCTGTTTCTGATCTTCCCACAAGGGTACATTGGAGCCATGACCAATAGATCCAGCCACAGCAGGGGCTATCATCACTGTTTGATGTAGTGCAACAAAGGCACTGAGTAATTGTTGGGCAAAAAATGCACCAGCAAACTGGACCAGGTCAACCTCAAGTGGATGTCGAACAGCTTCTAAGTGAAGAGTTTGCAGATCCCCTAAAGGGATGTGCAGGGCTAAAGGAGGCTCAGAGCCTATTATCCTTAAGTCATATCCTTCACATGAGTGAGGCAGTGTTGCTACAGACTGAGGATGTATGGGACACTGTCACAGAACATGCCAGCGCTGGAGCAGGACTTGAGATACGAAGGAATTAGTGGCCATCCTATCCGGTGGCCGTTGAGGTCACAGCGGTGTTAAATGTCTATGCATCTGGTTGCTTCCAAGGAGCCACTGGGGACCTCTGTGGAATTTCTCATCCTCAACCCACAAAATGTATCAGGGTTGCTAATATTTTTGGCTGATCACATCACTTCATCTCGTTTCCCCATAACAGAGACAGTGCTGCAAACCAGGCAGAAGGCTTTGCTAACATAGCTGGCTTCCCCCAGGTGCTACATATGCGGACTGTACAAATGTTGCATTGAGAGCACTGTATCATTATGCAGCTAAGTTTATCAATAGAAAAGGGTTCCATTCCTTTAATATAGAAGTCAACTGTGATCATCAGTACCACATCTTAGAGGTCTTTGCCAGGTACACTGCCTTGATACCTACAGCCTTGAGAACTCTCATATTCCAAGAGCCAGATCCCTTACAAGAATGGTTACTGGGAGATAAGGGTTACCGTCTACAACTATGGCTGACGACTCTGTAATATAACCTCTGACTGAGGGGAATGTGGGTGTAGATACAATGCAGTCCATTCTTTGATCAGAGTATTGTGGAAGAGGTGTTAGGTTCACTGAAGATGATGTGCCAATGCTTGCATCAGTTTTGAGGAGCTTGCAATAGTCTACAGACGGAGTGTGCAGCATAACCCTAGCATGCTGTGCACTGCAGGTAAAGAGAGATGTGATGGATTCTGAAGAGCTGGGAGAGCTGCAGCAGTCTTCCAAGGAGGAAATTGTGGATATCCAGCAAGAGAAACATCATCTTTTGCATGATAGAGAGCTGCAGCATCAAGCACAACAAGCCAGACAGAATTTATTGACATTTGGTTCCAATTGATGTGAAATGTGGTGCAATGATCCCTGATTGGCTGTTAATTTGTTGCTGCTTGAGAGTGAAGCAGTCTCTTTCTGTTTCCAAAGGAAAATGTGGTTTCTATTTATTTGTTCATTGCTCCCTTTGTCAGTTGTTGAATAAAAGTGGACATTTTCAATCAGGCGATGGTCCCACATTGAACAATGAGAAGATGTTAGCCTGTACTTCGCATTAGGGAAAGAGAAGCACCCTCTCTGACTGAGTTCTAAGATGGGATAAGGCTAAGGACAATTAGTTGTGTAGTTTGTTTCTTAAATAGCAATAGATTGATGATGCACTTCCAATGAAATGTCAGCTGTGCCTCCTTTATGCTTTGAGAAGCATTTGTTTTTTGTTCTCCTACTATTTGCAATGTAGGACATCTCCTGACTGGCAATGCTTGACCTGGTGCATGACTGGCCTTTAAAGATGGCTTCAGTGCCACAAGGTCTAGGCAGTGTCCAGTACTTTTGTCTGTGCTGAGAAGGAAGATATGGCAAGTGGGGCACCATCGTGGCATGTACATATCTAATAAGGCAGGTTTCAGGGAAGAGGATGAGAATTCTTGCTCAGGTTCACAGAGAGAAACCTCCCATGAAACTTGCCACTTCGCTGATTTCCAGTCAAATTCAGCCCAAAATGTCACTCTGGCTGAGGACAGAGCCCAAAATCACACAAATATTTAGAAGACTAATCCCTCTGATTCAGTCACACACTTGGACTTCGATATGGTGAGATTACCCTCATGAAAGCCCGCTGAAAGAGCAGGAATAATCATCAATGTTCATATTCATGTGTTAAATGTGTAGGTCAAGGTAACAATACAAGTGCAATGAATGTCTAGCAGGAGGCGCTGTTGTCAATTTGGATTCTCAAGCAATACTGCAGATCAGTTGCTCCTAGGTCACCACAGAAACAGAGACAAAAGGAAATCATTTGGAAAGAAATAGGTCTAAAAAATCAAGGATGGAGATCAACAAAGTAAGTCAATCTTTGGAAGTGGAATCAAAGAGGAATAAATGAAGTTCTGGACTGTGCAAGGCCAATTTACTGCCGCACTCTGCCATAAAGGCAAGAGATTAGTGGGACTGTATACACATTGACACACTAGGATACAACACATTACTAAGTAGGAACACGTGCATTCAGTCCAGGACTCTTAGAGAGAGTAGATGCAAGAGGAAAATGGAAGAGAAATTTGTCAAGAATTTCCAAGGTTATGCGAGGCTTAGGCAAAGTAAAACAGGAATACTCCAATCATAGAATCCCTACAGCATGGAAGGACTTCCTTTGGTTATATGCAAACTGGATTTTCATCAAGTGGAATTACTTTGTATTGAGACTGATGCCAGAATGGTGCTTGATATCATGCAAAACAATTATCAGGGTAATGGGGAAAAGGCAGGAAAGTGGAGCTAAGGATTATCAGATCAGCCACAATCTCATTGAAGGACAGTGTAGACTTGATGGGCTGAATGGACTTCTTCTGCTCCTATGTCATGTGGTCTTATGGTCTTTTGTAGGTGCAGCATATGGCAGCTTGGATCCTGGGAGAACATGCAAATAAAACTGAGAAAAGCAAAAGTAGGAATTTGACTTGGAGGTGATTATGGAAAAACAATTGGGACCCAGATACATGAAAAAATAAATAGAGTAGTCAGTGGCTTAGAACAGAGGGAGTGGATCTGAAGGGAAACCTCTGAAACATCACCATGAGAGCAGACTGTTCAGTATCTCATTCAATTTACTGAAGTTTAACAATGGTGAGTGTCTGTAAATGAATAAAGCTTCAGGGGGAATAATGTCACAAATTTTGTTTTATTATGTTGCATTCATCTTACATCTTATGTTTACGAATGACTGGATTGATGAAAGACCTATGTATGCTACATTAGTAGCATACAGCTAAAATAATCATCTTTAAATATGGTTTCAAAACAAATACTTTGTCAAAAACTAATTGCACTTTTTTGAAAAACAATTGAATTTAATTAAATTTAAACTTATGTTTCTATCTGTTGGCAATGTTTGTCTTTTGTCAGTCCTTTCTCGGTAACCACTAGGGATTTGTAAGCAGTTTTCCAGTTGATTTATTCTCTTGTTCATTTGTTTGTAAGTTGTTTAAAGCACATTTAAACAATTTACTTCTAAATCATCTTACTATTTCAATGTATGTTATCACTCGACCTCTGGGGAGAAAAAACAGAATAAGTAAATTACAGCTCACTTCTGTGTCATTCACTGTATTATAAGAGACAGGACAATGAAAAGGATCATTTGTTTCATAAAGCATGTAGAATTTCTCGATCTCTCAAGATAACCTTGGTGGAAGCTCAGCAAAAATCATGTATTAGTGGTATAAATGAACACCAACATTTTGTTGTCCAATTGCAGAACAAAAAATTAACTTCAAGAGGTTTGGAACCATAACATGCCAGAAAAGATTTCATTATTATTGCGAGGATTGCTGTGAAAATTTGTAAACTCATTTTTTAGTAAACCTATTCTTAACTATGCTTTAATTTTTACTGTACAATGTAGTTAATCATAATAGTTTTGTCAGGATTCTATTGACATATCAACTCTTCTCTTGCAATTCCTCAAGCCAAAGAGTATGCTTTTACTATCTTATCACCAGGTGCTGTTGGTTTAATGATTTCATGACTTTAATGGACACATTTCCCAAATATTAACCTGGAAGGATGGACACAAGTATGGAAAATCACGGTGTCCATTACTTTTTGTCCTTTTTTTACATTTAGTGCTATAGTGTAAAATAGTCATACAGTCATACAGCAGGAAACAGACCCTTCAGTCCAATTCGTCCATGTCGACCAGATATCTTAAATTAATCTAGTCCCATTTACCAGCATTAAATGGCTGCAGGCCTAACTCAAGATGTATTTATATGGAATTTGGACATATTTAGCACCTTTGCAAATAATAAATGCTTTATTTTTCATTCAAGTGGCAACGACTGTAAGACTTGGCTAAAATAATTAATTTCAAACTTTTAGCAGCATTTCTACGACATGAATGAGTACAGTAGTAATTATTTCTTACACTTTGTTTGGAGGGAAGAATAACCTAGTTTTGAACCAATCCTATGTGGAAACCAGTTAAGCATTCTCAATCAGGATTGAGTAGGGAACATTACAGTTGGCCTCACTATTGCATGGACTAGAAAAGGAAAGTAAATGTACTTTGGATTCATATTCCCAATCACTAATCATTACACTGTTTTTGTGAATAATGGGAGCGGACACTTTGGCTGTGATTCTCCCTGTGGTTGAATTGCTTGGCCACAATTTGTGCAATAGGAACCTGGCCAAACATGAATCAAGACCTTCCCACTGGCAAAATTGGAAAAAAGGGAGCAATTGCAGTAGAATACTTTAGGAAGGAAAGATTAACATTAGGTTTGATGGGTCAAAAGGCCCGTTTGTGTGCTGTGCTGTTCTATTACCAGCAAACTTTGAATGGAAGCATTGCTCCTGGTATTTCAAAACTGATGTTTAGTTTAACATTTGAGAGTCTGAGGCTGATGGTGGCATAGTGGCAAATATCACTAATCAGTAGCTTGTAATGGTCTGTAGGCCTTAGGTTTAAATCCCTCCATAGCAACTGTTGGAATTTTAATAATTTCAATTCATAATTTGGAAGTGAAGCTAAATCACAGGAAGATATAGCCAAGTTGGTCAAATTGTATTGTAACCCTGAAAAGTGTGAGGTGATGCACTTTGGAAGAGGTAACAAGACAAGGGAGTGTTCAATGAATGGCAGGACATTAGGAAGCTCAGAGGAACAGCGGGATCTTGGGTGCTTGCCCACAGACCCCTGATGGGAGCAGGACCGGTTAGTACTGTATTTAAGGTGGCATATGGGGCATTTGCCTTTATCAGTAGTGGAATAGATTATAAGAGTGGGGAGGTTAAGTTGAAGTTGTATATAGCGTTAGTTAGGCGACAGCTGGAGTACTGTGTGCAGTTCTGGCTGCTACACTATGGGAAGGATGTGATTGCATTGGAGAGGGTGAGAGGTGACTCATCAGGATGCTACCTGGGATTGAGCAGTTTAGGTATGAAGAGAAGCTGGATAAACTCGAGAATATTGTTGATAACAACTACTATCATTTACTTTGAAAACCCATTTGGTTCACTAAACAGCTCAAGGGAAGGCAATCTGCCATTCCTACCTGGTCTGGCCTATGTATGGTTCCTGACCCACTTGATATGTGGTTGGCTCTTAACTGGTTAGAAAGCCACTAAGTTCCAGGGCAATTAGGGATGGGCACCAAATGCTGGCCTTGCCAGTGACACCCACATCCTGTGAAAGAATACAGAACAAGTAGTTCTACTCAGGTCACTTTGCCTTACCATCAAATGTTGTTGCACATTTTTCTCTACCATATTTACTGATTTTATGAAATAAAGGTATCTGTATTCGAGCATGCATGCAGTAAGTTGTTCTGGGTTTTAGATTGTGGATAGATATTGTTGTACTTGTTGCTCTGCATGATTCAGGTCTCTGTAAAATGATGAACAAGGAATTATTACTACTTAGGAAAATCAGTTGACATATTTGTTAAAAATTGTCTAAATTATTATTCCATCTTCTTGCACTATTAACTTCTTCATCTTTCTTCTTTTGATTCCAATCTGGGCACCATTCCCCACTTAGTGGTTGGACAATTAGCCTGGTCTCAATCTTTTACAGCAACTGAAGAAGTCTATGTTCATATGCAGCAAGACCTGGGCAATATCCAGCTGACAAGTGTCAAATAACATTTAAGTGATACAAGTTCAAGTGAATGACTATCTCATATAATAGAGAATCAAAACTGTCCATTGACATGCATAAAGTCATAGAATCAAACAGCACAGATGCGGCCCTTCAGCCCATCAAGTCTTCACTGATCTAATTACACAAATCTCACTTGCCAGCAATTGGCCTTCAGATTTGAATGTTATGACACTTCAAGTGCTCTTTCAAGTACTATCTAAATGTTGTAAGGTTTTTCACTCTGCTACTCTCAGGCAGTGCCTTCCAGATTTTTGCTACCCACTGGGTGAAGAGATTTTTCCTCAATTTTCCTCTAAACCCCCTGACTTTCACTTTAAAATTCTACTCCTCATTATTGATCTTTCAACCATGGAGAACAGTGATTTCCTATGCACCCTATCAAGGCCCCTCACAATCTTATACACCTCAATCAGGTCCTCCCTCAGGCTTCTTTGCTTTAAAGAAAGCATCTCAAGCTTCCCTTCATACCCAAACTGTTCAATCTCAGGCAACATCCTGATGAATCTCCTCTCACCATCTCCAATGCAATCACATCTTCACATAGTGTAGTGACCAGAACCACACATAATACTTCAGCTGTGGCCCAACTAATGTTATATACAGCTTTAACATAACGTCCCTGCTCTTATAATCTATTCCATAACTGCTAAAGGCAAGTGCCCCATATGCCTTTTTAAATACACTATTAACCTGTCCTGCCACTTTCAGAGGTATGTGGATAAGCACCACAATATCTCTCTGCTCCTCTGAGCTTCTTAGTGCCCTGTCATTCATCGAGTACTCCCTTGTCTTGCTACATCTTCCAAAGTGCATAACTTCACCTTTTTTAGGGTTAAATACCACCTGCAACTGAGCTGCCAATTTGACCGACCTAGCTATATCTTCTTGTAACCTTGTTATCATCCCCCAGCCCACCACATTCTCATTTATATCCTTATACAAATCAGGAACAATAACGGAGAAAGCCATGAACCCCTGTGGTATGCCACTGGACACTAATCTTCAGTTACACAAATAGCCTTCTCCCACCAACCCCTGTCTCCCACAAGTTTGGATCTATCTTGCCAGTTGCCTTGGGCGTACTTTTACCCTCTCTATCAGTCTCCCATGTAGGATCTTGTCAAAGGTCTTGCTATATTCCATATAAACTACTCCTACCGCCCTACCCTCTTTTACACATCTGACCACCTCCTTGAAAAATTCAATCAAATTTGTTAGACGTGACCTCCCTCTGACAAAGCCATGCTGGCTATCTGTGATCAAACCTCACCTCTCCAAGTGGAAATTAATTCTCTCCTTCAGAGTTTTCTCCAAATGTTTTGTTACCACTGATGTGAAACTCACTGGTCTACAAATCCCTGATTTATTACTACCACCCCTCTTGAAAAGTGGATCTACATGTGTCACCCTCCAGTCCTCTGGTACCTCCCCTGTGGCCAGAGAGGAATTAAAATCTGTGTCAGTGCCCTGTAATTTCCTCTCACGCCTCCCACAGCAGCCTGAGATACAACTCATTTAGACCTGGGGATTTGTCCATGTTTTTAAGCATGTCAAAACCTCCAATACCTTTTAACCTCCATGTCAACAACATTACAATTCCTTTCCCCGAATTCTATACCTACATCCTCCTTCTCTTGTGTGAAGACAGATGTGTTAAGCTTGTTTCACGATGTCATCCGGCTCCACACACAGATTGGCCCCTTGGTCCTTACTCTTTCCCTAGTTGTCCTCTTCTTGTTAATATATTTGTAAAATATCTTGGTATTCTCGCTAATTTCAATCACCAGTGTTTTTTCATGCCCCATCTTTTCTCTCCTAATTGCTTTCATAAGATCCTCCCTGCATTTTCTGTACTCGACCGGGGGCTCTGTTAATTTGCTCCATTTGTACCTGTCAAAAGCCTCTCTTCTCTTTTTTATACATCCTGAATATTCCTAGACATCTAGAGTTCTCCTGGCTTGTGGCTCCTGTATTTCACCCAAGTGGGAACATGTTGGGCCTATACTTGACAATCACCTCAACTGTTGTGCCTTGGATTTTTCCATAAGTAGCTGCTCCCAGCCATATTCTGCAGCATTTAACAAAATCTGCTTTTCTCCCAATCCAAAACCCTTTGTTGCAGATCATTTTCTTTCCATAACAAACTAAACTTTTTACAGTGTTGTGTTTGCTATCAGCCACTGATCTCCCACTGCCACCTTGAACAGCTGTCCACCTTCACTTGCCACAATTAAGTCCAGCACTGAACCATCCCTTGTTGGACTCTACATTTTGACATCAAAAGCTAACTTGAATGTATTTCAAGAAATCCGCCCCATCTAACCCCTTTACACTATCCTATTTAATATAGGGGATGTTGAAATCCCTGGTGTAATGACACTGTTATTGTTTTTACACATCTCTGTGAATTGTCTACATATCTGGTCCATATTGAGGAAGTCCAGCGAAGGTTCACCAGACTGATTCCTAGGATGGTAGGACTGTCATTTGAGGAAAGACTGGATCAACTGGGCTTGTATTTGCTAGAATTTAGAAGAATGAGGGGGATCGCACAGAAACGTGTAAAATCCTGATGGGATTGGACTGGCTCGATGCAGGAAGAATGTTCCCAATGTTGGGCAAGTCCAGAACAAGCGGTCACAGTCAAAGACTAAGGGGTAAGCCATTTAGGACTGAAATGAGGAAGAATTTCTTCAGTCAGAGAATTGTGAACCTGTGGAATTCTCTCCCACAAGAAGCCGTTGGGGCCAGTTCATTAGATATATTCAAGAGGGAGCTGGACATGGCCTTGTGGCTAAAGGGATCAAGGGGTATGGAGAGAGGACCGGAATGGAATACTGAGATTGCATGATCAGCCATGATCGTATTGAATGGTGGTGCAGGCTCGAAGGGCCAAATGGCCTACTCCTGTGCCTATTTTCTATGTTTCTATATTCTTGAGGCAAATAGAGATGGGCAATAAATGCTGCCACTGGGCAACAAAGCCCAAATACTAGGAATGAATGAAGGAAAAAGAACTTCCTTGGTGTGTCATCCAAGACTGGAGTGAAGGACTAGGTGAGTGTAAGGGTCTCTACATGGTGTTGCCCAGGGGAAGGGGTGAGTAGAGAGCTGGGTGCGGATGTTGGTAAAGAGTCCAAGGGTGAGAAGGAGGCAGCATCCATGAGAGATCAACCTTGTAGATGCTGCCTAATGTTGAAAGGAGGCTTTTAATGGAAGAGTCCTGGGTAGGGACATTTTCTGTTTTCGCTCTGAATTCTGCCCCCAGCCTGAAAGCTGAGACTGGGTGGGAAACAACCCTAATTGATTGGTAACTGGCCTATTAAGAGCATCAATGAAGGTAATGGTGGATAGGCCTCGACTGTCACCTGATCCACTATAAAATTGCTGATGATCAAGGCAGACAGGTAGACAATGGGAAAATGATCAAGAAATTTTACAGGGAATGCAAATTTCTGGCATTGATTCCATATAGAAATAGTCCCATTTTCCAAATGTATTAACTAATCTGAAAAAAATGCAAAGCTACAAAGACAACTTTCTGTTTTTCATGTTTTTGTTTGTACCTCTCTCTATTATAAATAGCAGTTGCATTCCTTGTAATTGTTCCTATTAAAGAGGGTCTGTATTTCTCTTATGTCTAATATTAGCCAATGTAACCCTGTATACAGAAAAGAAGTCCTTTACTTCATTACATTGTCTCAAGTGGAAGTCACAATGTGAAAAATCAGAAAGTGTGATTCTACATTCAGCAGTTTCATGTTAGAGCTATGGGCACCCACAATAGAGGGCCAGTACTATAGTGTTTCATTTAAAGGAACTAATGGAGCATTAATAACATAAAGACAGCAGCTTTAACCTTACATGATCCACTGGATTTCCTGTAATTTCTACTTGGTATTCAAAGTCGATATAAATTTTATCCAAGGTAATCCAGGAGCCATTTTTCCTTCTGAAAGGTGTGCGTGGAGCAAACAATTCCACCTGTATAGATCTTGACTGGGGTGTGAGTTTAATCTTTGGTGGACTAATGGCTGCTACAGTTTCAAAAATATTCAAAAGTAATAAGAGGATTTTGTATTGATATGAATGGTTTAAATACATCTTAAATCATGCAAAAAAGCAATTTTTTGTGTACAATTATTAATTCAATAATTTCTGTCTTGGCTTATTGTAATTATTATAGTTTTATCCCTTAACTTATAAGTGAAAGAAACATCAATAAATATCCCCCAGTCAGCCACCCATCTTCCATCATAAATTTGAGATTATCCAATACATTGATAATGGAACCTAACTCCCATCATTCCTGACACACAAGATCTCCCTATCTCTGCAACCTCCTCCACCCTTCAAAATTTCTCTACTGCTGTAATTTAGTCTGTAATATATTTCTGACTTTCATTGCATGACCACTGGTGGCCATCCCTTTAGCTGCCAAAGTCTCCATTAACATCTTGGCCTCTCCACTGCTCTCTCCTCCTTTAAAATGCTCCTTTAAACCAACATCAAAGTCTAAGCTTTTGGTTCTATTTTATATTTGGTCTCATGTTACATTATGTTACACAACAATAAGGCCATAAAACATAGAAGCAAAAGTAGGCCATTTGGTCTATCAATCTGCTCTGCCATTCAATGAGATCATAGTTGATCTGATATTTTCAACTCTGCCCTCTTGCCTTTTCCACAACCCTTTACTGATAAACAAAATCTACCTCAGCCTTGAAAATACTTAATGACTCAACCTCTCCAGTCCTCGATGGTAAAGAATTCGCAACCCTCTAAGACAAGAAATTGCTGTCTTAAATGGGTGACCGCTAACTCTGAGATTATGACCTCTGATTCCAGACTCTTCCATAGGGGGGAAACAGCATCTCTGCATCTACTCTGCCAAGTCCCCTAAGAATCTTATATATTTCACTAAGGTTACTTCTCCTTGTTTTAAACTCCAATGAGTATTAGCACAACCTACACAATGTCTCCTCATAAGAAAATCCCTCTATAGCCAAAATCAACCTAATGAATCTTGTCTGGACTACCTCCAATGGTGAGGGAACTGTTCACAGTATTCCAGGTGTGGTCTAACTATTGCCTTGGATAGTTTTAGCAAGAATTCCCTGTCTTAATATTCCAGTTCCATTGAAATAAAGGACTACATTCCATTTGCCTTCCCTATAACCTACTGAACTTGCACGTTAGTGTTTTGTGATTCCTGGACAATGACCCGAGATCCCTCTGTTATAACTTTCTGTAGTCTTTCTGAAGTTAAATAATATTAACTCCTATATTCTTCCTGCCAAAGAGCATAACATCACATTTTCCCACATTATATTCTATCTATCAAATTTTAGCCCCACTCACTTAACACATCTACCTCCCTCTGTGTACAATGTGCCATCCTCACCACTTGTCCTCCCACCTAACTTTGTGTCATCCATAAACCTGACAAGACATTCACTTCCTTTATCCAAGATACTAACATATACTGTAAATAATGTGATCCCAGCATTGATCCCTGTGGCTCTCCACAAGTTGCTGGTTGCCATCCTGATAATCCATCCCTCCATCTCCCTATTCCAACTCTCAGTCTTCTATTGGTTAGCCAATCCTCTATGCATGTGAATATTCTACCCCAAATACCATGGACTCTGAGCTTATTAAGTAACTTTTTTGTGTGGTACATTATTGAATACCTTTTGCAAGTTGAAATATATTACAACTACTGGTTCCCTTTATCTTACAATCCTTCTACTGTCTCTACCACGGAAAATTAGTTGATGCCAAAGAAGCTGGTCCAAAATGAATTGAGATGCTGGATGCAGACAACTTTGTCAAACACATCCGGTTATTCCTTTAAGTCTTCAATACATAATTTACCATACAGTTGCTTAATCTATCTCTATAATGTCAATTCATGATCAACTCCTTTTTAAGGCTCAAAGAAAAATTTCCACAATCTTTATTAAAAACACACTTCTCCAATATTAAAGATAGTACAATCAGTGTTAAGAATTTCTACAGTCTAACTGGGGTACTAGGAGGCTGACAAACACAAAGCTTTACCTTCTGAATCCTTTTGGGTACTTCCTATTACATTTTTCTTTACTACCTTGACTGGAGTTTTCAAGATCGCACATGATCATTGCCTGTTTTGCAAAATCACAAGTTGGATTCAGAGAAGGAAGGCCATTTACTCACCATTTTTCATTCAGCGGAAAATTCAAGACATAGTAATGCACACATACTTACTTTCCCAGAAGGGAATAAACCTTTCACTATGTACCCAGTTTGAGTGGCCGTTTGCTGTAAGGGCTTGAACTCTTGCAAAGTGTGGCTCCATAAAGTGCCTTGTCTCTTGAGTAAGGTCACAGAATTCCACTGTTTCTCCCCATACCTACAATAGACAATTTCACTTTGCTTTTAGATAGTGCTTGAATAGCAATTAAAATATGGTACATGTCAAATGAATCATTAGCACGTTGACAGGTTACAAAGTTGGATTGAAATCATTTACAAGTTCACAAGATAAATATAGATAATGAATGCTGTACAACCAACATTACTGCATCCTTCCAGAGAAACATTATAATAGTGCTGTTCCTTCACACACATTTCCTCAGTTACTCAATTTGAAGTTCATTTTATTTTTTCTTCATATTCAGAACTTCCTGATATTAGTCCTAAATTTATCTTTTATTAATTTTCACCTGTGTCCTATTATCCTATTGTGATGATTGAATTAGTGTTCAGCATATGCTTTTCTGTACAGTTTACTACCTAATACATATTTCTTAACTGTCTACCCATGGCCAACTCCCTTTAAGGCTTGAAGGACAGAAGTCCTCCAGTCTTTCCTCAAAACTAATTTCTTGAATGTTAAAGACCTGTCTTTGAAAGATAGTTCATCAAGCAATAGGGTTTTTCATAATCAAATTGGTCTATAAGCAGACAGATCCCTAAGTTCTTTTATCTTCTGAATCCTTCTGAGTGCATTTTATCAGGTTATTACCATGCAAATAATTTTCAAATTACATCTGATCATCTAAATAAGTGCTGAATGAAGACAACTGGAGCATAATATTCATTTACCCAGTTTTTGTATGTGAGACCATGGCTCACAGAATCTCCGTGCCTGTTCATCTTGAAGTGAGAACAGAAAACATGTCTGCCCATCACATCAGAATGATTTTGGTGCCAGGTATTTTAGTCACCTTCTCAAAACTGCTCAGGATCTCTGTGCACAGCAGAAGGCCCGAGCAGCATTGTGACAGACCATGGAAGGCAGTAGTGGTTCAGGTTTGCAGGAAGTAAGATACATGAATGGGGGTGTGGGTGGAAGCAGGAGACACGAAAGCCTTAAGAACCAGATCTAGAAGGGGACAAGGATATATGCATTTCCAGAGCCTGACAGAGGAGGTGGTTTTCAGCGTGTTTAGGTTGGAGGACATGGCCCATAGTAGCTGATGGTGCCAAGAACATTGACAATGATGGCATGTGCCAGCCTATGTCCCTTCCCAACTCCCGATACATCCTCACCCTGTTCCAATCCAGAAACCTCATGTGAGATCAACAGGTCATACTGTACAATATTAGGTTAACACCAGTTAGAATTGTCTAGTAAACAGCTGTGAGTTCCATTGTCAATAAAGAACAGTTTGTAGTTTTACAGATATCAGTTCAAGGTGCAGCTTCTACTGGGGACGTCAACAGGGCATCTGTTCCACGGCTAGAAATGGTGCAATACAACTGAATTTTTAGCTCTTGGGGTTTTATTTGTGTTGGCCTATTTTGCTTCTTTTTTAAAATGCATGGCAAGTTACTCTGCTTCCTACATTTCTCCAGTACTCATTAACGGTATCTATCCCTGGTATCTCTTATTAATATACATAACTGGAGACCTTTTTATTTGCCATGGCAACATCTCTACCAATTGAGTCCACTTTCCAACCAATCTGCACACTCCTTTATACAGTCTGAATGTATCCCCTTTACTTTGGTATTTCTTGAAAACTGGCCTGATGAGTCTATTCCTTTTTTTTAGCAATATTAATTTTTGGGACAATCGTACCGTGTAACATTTAACTCACTTAAATAAATTTCTATCTTCTAACCTTTAGAGTTCTGGCCACTCCCTGATTCTGTTTTAGTTGAAACAATCTTTTATTATGTTTATTGATTTATCACTGTCTTTACTTCCGTTTCTCTCTGTCACTTTCATGATAATTTTATTGTACTTCTTTTCTTGTTGTTATATTTACCTTAAAAGAAACTTACATTTTGTATTGTACCATGTAAACAATACTCTTACTGGTATGATTGGCTTCCTGCCATTGTAAAACATTGTAGAAGTCAGTAGAGTTGAAATTCACTTGCTGTGGGTGTGCAATACATTCTGAAAATTGAACAAAATTGTTATGTTTGATTGTAAAAACCTCTGGCAGCAAAATACCTGTACTGATATAAAATTTGATTCATTTTTTGATCATTTATAAATGTGCTGTTTCCCGCATATTCAATTTAAATGGTAAATCCTTGTTTGCATTTTACATAATGACATTTTGGCTTCTGAACTCTATTCAAAGGCACTCGGCTCTGGGCCAGCTCTAGATCATTTAAATACTCTGCGGAAACATATCCCAGCAGTCCTGAGGCTGGTCAGGAGCAATACATTCTGACTTCCCAAGAAAGCTGGCCTTTATAATTTCAAGTAAATTTTGTTTTCATATCTTTTTACACTATTCACAGTTTTCTAGTTACGCAGCCTCTTTTAAAGTAGTAGATCTACTCATGAAGCACAATATAAAACTGCAGAATTTCTTATTGATATTTCATTTAAGATATAACTATATAATTACACATTATTCACTTAATGGGCGCTTACTAAACTTTTTAAAAGAACCAAGTTCAATCTTTGATAACACATGCAGGGGAATATTTCCTGCATACTACACGATAATCAAAAAGCAAGTTTGCACTTTGGTTAAACATTCCTCCATTGCAGACATAATCAATTTTTGCAGGAAATGGTTACATATGTACATTATGATATGCTCGTTATTATGTTAATGGATTGCAGTTTTGTTGCCAGAGGTAAGCATTTTGCTCTATTGCCCTCTCAACTCCCCTCTTTAGTTGGGGAAGCATAAATAAACCAGGTTCAATCATGGTTGTCTGCAGCACGTTTGTCTTTGTGCGACACAGAACAGTAAAAGATAGGACAACACAGTGTGGAGCTGGAGAAACACAGCAGGCTGGGCAGCAGACGAGAAGCAGGAAAATTGACATTTTGGGTTGGGACCCTTCTCTTCTGAAGAAGGGTCCCGACCTGACCCGAAATGTTAACTTTCCTGCTCCTCTGATGCTGCCTGGCCTGCTGTGTTCCTCCAGCTCCACACTGTGTTATCTCTGACTCCAGCACCGCCAGTTCTTACTAGCTCTGAGTAAAAGATAGGATATCATTTTGTGCACTTTACTTGTGAAATTAAGAACCAAAGCACATTGTGACATGCTTTTAGAACTCTCACAGGAAGTTTGAGGAATTTCTCATCAAAGTGCAATTCATGTAGGCAAGTCAATCATATCCAGATAAGGCCATGGAGTGGAGGGAGCAGTAATGCTTCACAGAGCTCCAGATCATAGGTTGCACTAGACTGTGGTCGTGACATATCAAAGATTCGTTCAGGAGTCTGGAAACCCCTGACTGTGCATTTGATAACCATTATCAAACTGGAAGATTACGAATTATACTCTGACAGAAAAAACGAAAACAGACCAAGGAAGATGAGAGTAGAAATGAAAGAGAATATATAATTCCAGCGCTCAGTAAAAGGTAGCATCAGAAATTCACAACTTACCGTCAAGGTTGATACAGCTGCCCATACGTGTTATTTCAGACGGAGAATCACGGAAGTCCCTGAATCACATTTCCTTAGACAAAACTTATATGAAACTGGCCAGTTATTCTAATAACAATATTCGAGTGTTAGGTCAAATGTGAATTAGGCTGCAATATGATGATACATCCAAATATTTGCCATTAATGAGAATATGAGGTAACAAGGTCTACCTATTTGAAAGAAACTGGTTTGAAAATATAGTTATTCTGGGCCAAGATATTAACAATAGGGATAAGTAAGAAAATGTCTATCGTTCTGGAAGTGTCACAAATGCTCAAAATGTTCTTTGAGCAGGTAGGACCAAATGATAAAATTAACCATCATTAAACATAGTAATTCAGGAAATCATGCAAATGTGGTTAATATTTCAAGATTTCCCATAAAGTCTGATTCATGTCCAGCTGGTGAGTTACCTGTGAATTACTTAACATTCACAAATAAAATGCCAATCTTTGCCAGAGAAATTAGCGAAGAAACTCACAAGGATATGCTGCTTAGTAAAGTGCTGAATTATATCCTTATGGTTGGTCAAAAGATTGTGTGTTTTTGCATAAAGAACTGTAGATCAGTGTTGTATTCTATCGGGTTTAGGAGTAATTATTTTGCCAAGTTTATGGCAACATTGTTCAAGAAAATTCACCAAGTCAGCATAGGATAGTCCGAATGAAAGCAATAGCAAGAATGTAAGTAAATTGAGTTGATGGAGAGTTTAAATGAAAAGCGTGTCAGAATGATAAATGATGTCTATCAAAATTCACCAGCTCCCAGTAATTTCCCCACCTGGAAAGCCAGCAAAGGCAAGTCACTTGATAAGCTGAGAAGCCCATCAGATGAACACTTGAGTCGTAATTAGCATTTGGTTTGGCAGCTTTCTCATTGATAGAGGCATGGGATTACTCACCTTTAAGATAACTGTCCCCATGCTTCCTGCAGAAAGAAATAATGCCAACCTACGGTTTTAGCAACTAACCTGCTCTTTACAGTTATGGTGAAATTGTCTATGAAGTCTGTGGTCTGTTCATAACTAATGCTGCAATGTTGGGCCAAACTGAGGGAGAGTCAAGGTGAAAATTAACTTTATTCCGAGCAGGTATCAGTTTCAAACTCACAACTCATTTTAACAACACACACTAGTGAGTTCTTGTGGGTTTCTACAGAACATGCATGAGCAGGACACATCATTTACTTACCAGAAACTTGTGGACAAATTAATTGCATGAAACAAAATAGAACCAAAGATTGATTTGGGAATCGTGCCATCACTTCTGATCATTCTGTAATCATGTATGGACTTTTATCAGGTAGAAAAGCAGAAATGAAACTACCTTACATGAAAGATATTTAAGTTAAAAATTCCCCTTTGAGAGCAGAAATATAACAATGTGGAACTACTGCAAACCCCTGCATCAGATCTTATTTATAGTATGCTTCCCCAGCTAGATTCCCAGCACCAGCTCACAAGTACAAAGCAGGAGAATCCCCTTGGTGCTGCAATGTGCATGCAGCATCAGAAGATCCAGTGAATGATTTTAAGTACATAGCGTGGTGCAAAGTTTATTGGAGATGTCCCACTGAAGATCTCAGCCCAGACAGAGTTCCTCAGCACATACATGGTAAATGCCTAGGGCTGAGGGAAAGGAGATCAAGCTGTGACAGTATCCTCCCTTCCCCTGGATCCACCATCACTGGTTCCTTGACAGACCTGTTAATTAAGAGTGCAAAGAGTCATAAACGGATCCAAGGAACATTAAAGAAGAAATCAAATCTGGAATCGGGACATGAGATTAGGAAAGCATAGAAATCCTAAGGATTCTTCAGATTTATCTTGCTGCTTGTTTGATATCCAGTATTGGTTAAGAATAACTTTCTTCCAATTGAATAAGAAGAAAATTCAAAGTCCATTCCCTAGTCACTGACTTCATCCCTTTCCCTGTCTATTGTTTCAGGCTGAATCAAATTGTTGGCAGTCATGGTGTTGTCGTTGACCCTGAAGTTAGCTTCCAACCCCAAATCCTCTGTCACTGAAGGCACTTATTTCCAGCTCTATAACATCTTCGATCTGCGCTCCCCCCCGCTTTACTTGTTACTGAAACCCTTTGCCTTTGCTTTTGCTACATCTAGACATTACTGTTTCAAGATAAATTATAACAAAATAGCTGTATAAAATATAAATAAAATACAAAAAATCAGTTCAACTTACCCATAAAACTGTCTACAATGTGACTGTTTCATTTCTCAAGCCTAATCTCTGAAAGAGATTGTGGTTTGCGAATTTACAAACATACATAACAACACAAACAGGAGCAGAAATAGAAAATTTGGCCCTTTGAGCCCCTTCCAACATTCGATATAATCAGGACTGATTTTGTGTGCATTTCAATTTCCACATTCTCATCTACCCTGATAATCTTTGAACCCGTTACCTTAAAAGAATCTGTCATCTGTCTTAATAATATTCAATGACTCTATCTCCATCTACCTTCTGAGACAGAGATTTCCAACTTAACAAAACCCTCTGAGAGAAAACAATTCTCCTCATCTCTATCCTAAAAGGACAAGCCACTAATTTTTAACACAGTTCTTCCTATTTCGGGACTGACCCAAAAGAGAAAACATCCTTTTCATGTCCACCTTGACAGGACTATTAGGATGTTACACATTTCAACTGGGAAAGGTTGGTCAGGCTTGGTTCCTTTCTACTACAGTTGAGAAGAGTGAGGGATGGCTGTTTAGAATTGTGGAAGATCCTGGCTAGTCTTGACAAAATGGATGTGAAAAAGATGTTTATTCGTGTGAATAAGTCAAAATTAGAGGGCACTACTTGGAAATTGTGTGTCGTCTATCCAGGACAGAGATGAGAACAACTTTATTACTTTGGAACTTTTTGCCTCAAAAGGTGTTGGATATGCTGTCAAAGAATATTTTTAAGGCAAAGGTAGATAGATTCTTTATCGAGAATAAAATCAAGGATTGCCAGGAGTAAATGGAAGTGTGGAATTCAGAGCACCAACAGATTTGGCTTGGTCTAATTGAATGGCAGAGCAGACCCGAAGGGCTGAATGGCCTACTGATGCCCCTAATTCATTCTTTCGTATGTTGATAAGTAATCCATGTGCCAACTCTTTGCTTATTCATTTAACCAATCAATATTATTTTGTAGCCTCCTTTTGCCCTCTTCACAACATAAATTCTGACCGAAATCAAAAACAGAAATTGTTGGCGAAACTCAGCAAGTCTGGCAGCATTTGTGTGGAGAAAGCAGAGTTAACGTTTCGAGTCCAGTGACTCTTTATCAGAACAGTTTCCAATAGCACTGATGCCTAGTCACACCAGAAGAACTGCAAAGGTTCATGTATGCAGCCCATCATCAACTTCTCAAGGACAATTAGAAAAGGGCAACAAATACTGAACTTGCCAGCAATGCCCACATTACTTAAATAAATAAATAAAACAGTTTTGGTGAATTTGAATCATACTTTGTCCAAAGCCAATATACTTTTCCTTAACAAAATACAAATTACTCAGATGTTGGAAATCTGTTACATAAGCAGAAAGTGCTGGAAATGCTCAGCAGGTCTGGAATCATTTGTGGAGACAGAAACAGACTTTATGTTACAATTGAATGACCTAACATCAGTTCTCACATGTGAAACAATGGGCTATTCTTCTGGTCCCACAGATACTAGGCTGGGGCTAGTACAATAGGTGGAAGATAAGTCAGAATGTCTCCCGACATTTCCATCATTGGGGTACGTTCCCAGTGGCAAGCTGGAACTATGATTGGTCTCTGCTCCACAAATGTAGGCAAACAGAAAGGACAATAAGACTTTATTTGCAGGACTTGAAGATCTAAAGGTGCAACTGCATACATATGTATCTATCCTTGCCATTGTCTTCCTGCTTTCTGCCCATTTCTCTACATGGGCTGCTGAGCATTCACAGCTCCTATACTCTAATTAGGGCCCCAGCCTTGGGACTCAGCCCATTGTTCATAATAGGATAGTGATCATAGAGATGGCTGATTCTGAGGGGAGTAATTAGGAAGTGGTAATATTGTGCGGGTGGCTGCTGATGATATCAGCAAGCTCAGGACCTTATGTGGGCTCTCCATTGAGGTCCTGACACGCATCAAAACATTCAACTGGTTATGTCTATCTTTCTTTCCACAGAAGCTGCCAGATTTGCAGAGTATTTCCAGTATTTTTGTTTTATATCCTTGTGTAGATTTGATGTCCAGAACTCAAGGTGGTACTCCAGAGCTTTGTTTCTTTGGCAGCCCTCTGTGAAGTGAGATGTTCATTGTGTGTTGATGTATATTCTCAGCATCATTTGCTGTCGAGGAAGACAGTGGGCTGGAGGGTGAGGAGCCCATCAGTATCTTCATGATCTGGAGTTGGAAAATCAACTAATATTAGCTGTGTACATCTGTGGCAGGCTGAAGTTCCATCACTTCAGAGATCCAATCTCTCAGCCAGTCTCCATTTGTGAGATAACAAACAAGGGTCTATCTTTCAATCAGCTGATCTTAGCTGGGAAAATGAGGAGGATGCTGAGAATGGTCTCTATATATCTTGGATTAAAAAGAGAAAGAAAATCAGTCATTATTCCCACTCTTGTTCACTGCAGAGCAAACCCTGTTAAAAATAAACTTCAACAAATGGTGTGAACCATTCCTACTGTGGACCACTGGATAGCTAACCCAAACATGCACCCAAAGTTCACACATTAATGAATAATGACAACTTGGATGAGGTGGCAGATGTTATTACATACCATGAAGCATTCTTCTTCAGAAAAAAAATCAAGTTGAATATAAAGGAGCCAAAGACATTATCACTTTAATTAAATAAACAGTTAAGTCACTCACTGGAGGTAATGGATTTGTAGTGGGTGAACCGCACAAAATCAGTCAATGTAAACATAATATTTTACCATGAATTGCTTTTTTCTACATTTTATCTCCAGCAGTCGTAGATAGTGAGA